TGGGACCAGCCCAGGCTGCTCTCCTCCTCACCACAGGAAGCTGTGGGCGGCCACCCTCTCCGTGTCTGGGGTCTCCTCCCTGTCCCTCTCTGTCACCGCCAGTGCAGACCAGGTGCTGCGGGTGGGAGTGGGAGTGACACCTCTTCCTGAGTGTCCCTGGACCCCAAGGGCCTGGAGTTGCTGGCTGGGGCACTGTGGCTGTCTCAGGGCGGGCTCTACAGTGAGTGAGGCCATGCTCTCGGTATGTGGGCATGTCACCACCTCCTAGAGACAGGCGTGGCACACCTGCAGTCACTCACTGAGCCCCCGAGTCTGGTGGGTCGTCCAGCAGCACAGCCTGTCCTCCCTCAGTGTCCTCGGACCCAATGTCAGGAAAGCATCCAGGTGCAGCAGGGGTGAGCCGGTCCAGGACACAGGCTGCCCCCCGGGATCCCAGGGGTGGTGAGAAGATGCTGCGGAGCAGGACGTGCAGGGGACCGCCACCCACTTCCGGTCTCACCAGACAGTGGTCGTGTGGTCATCCAGGCTGGTGCAGCTGCAGAGCCAGCACCCTGGAGCTGCCCACTGCTCTGTGCCTGGGCCCAGCCCGATCGCTGGCCCCTTAACAGGCAGGGTTCAAGCCGGTGCTGATGGGACCTGATGGTGTTGCTGATACAGGGCAAGTTTGCCTCGGAAGCAGGGCCAGGCCATTTTTCATTAAGTAACGTAATTTGTGGCACTGGTACGTGGGGACAAATGGCTCTGCCGCGCTGAGAGCCAGAAAAAAAGTAATGTAGTGTTGATATTCATGGGCTCGTGCCACGCGCCAGGAATATTCCTCATTTTGACTTAAATGTATCTTCTGCCCACTCAAAGCAAATGCAATTTTCCTTTTTATGACTGCAGGTTATTTACATGGGGAAAGTTTAAATAAGGCCCGCACCTCCACGGCCGCGCTCCTGCCACGCTGGAGGACAGGTCCGGCCTCCCGGCTTGGGAGGATGGGGCACTGTCTCCTCCTGAGGGATTCGGGGGGACCCCTTCCTCCTTCCTCTTCTCTTTCCTCCTATTCATTCTTTCCTCCTATTTTTTCTTCCTCCTCCCTTCTACCTCCTTTCCCTCCCTCCGGCCTTGCCTTCCTCCTGGCATCACTGTCCAGCTCTTCAGTGTCCTGGGGGCAGTTCTCTGGGCTCTGCAGAGACCGGGAGAAGCACAGGTCCCTCTGAGAGGCCAGGAGTGGTGCTGGCAACCAACTTGGTCACTTGGGACTTGCGTCTGAATTGGGTCCTGTGCTTCCCTCCCGTCACTGGGGGTGCTGCTTATGCCAGGGGCAGGGCAGCACCTGCCACATTCTCTGGTGCACCAGAGACCAGGCCGGCCCTGCCAGGGGTGCCTGCTATAGCAACCTGCCCTCCCACGGCACAGGGGCCTGGCCAAGGAGGGGTGCGAGCCTGTGCCCACCCTTCCGGGCCAGAGACTGGCAGTGAGGACCAGGCTGAGCTCAGCCCTTCCCTGACTGCAGGACGGTGTCATTTGCTCCTGACCATGACTATGGGGGAAACTCAGGAGAGGGCAAAGGTCAGTGGTCAAGACTTTATAAGCAGCAAATGGCGAGGCTCATTTCCCTGAAGGCCCCAGTTGTCCACACAGGCCATGAACGGGAGACAGGAACTAGGCTCAGGGCTCAGGACTTAGAGCTGGGACGTGGCACTCAGGTCTTCTCGTAGGGAGCCCTGGTCCTCTCTTGGTGCCCAGGCTGCCCCTGACATCTGCCTCCACTGTCTGTTGGGGCTGCAGGGTGGGTTTGGAGTCCAAGGACCTGCGGTGGCCTGGGCAGTGCCTGGCAAGTTGCTGGAGCAGACAGAGACACCTTGGAGCCTCACAGCCTTTCTGACGAGACAGCACAGGATGAGAAGCACAGGAGGGGTTGTGAGGAGGAGGAGAGGGAGGAGACCAGCATGCTGGGGTCACAAGCTCTGAGCAGGGCCGGCAGCATGGCTCTCTCTCATTCAGCTCTGTCACCAAGGTGGCTACTTGGAGTGAGGTCCCCTTGGACAGCAGTGGGACTCCCTGGGCAGAGTTGGTTGTAGCAGGTTTCAACGAGGACACAGGGTGACATTGAAAGCTCCTGAGACTGTAGGGGACAGCCGTGTCTGGCGAGGAGAGGCCAGGATGCCACTAACACCCTGCAGGCCCGGAGAGCCTGTGGCTCACCTGATCTGTCCTACAGTGGGCAGTGTGGGCCGTGGCTAGAGGGGGAGGCACTGAGTGGGGACAGAAGGGACCAGCTTGGGCCAGCAGGATGTATGTCCTCTGCCACAGATCTGCCCTGATCTCAGAAGGGCGGCATGTTCTTAGAGGCCTCAGCAGCATGGAGGCCTCAGGACGCCTTTACAATGTTCAGGAAGGGCTGGGAATATAGCTCAGCTGGGCAAAGGGCGGCTGCCCACGATGAAGCTCCACAAGCAGCAGGGCCAGCACTCCAATCCTACCTGTGCCATCCTGAAGTCACTTTGGAAGAGCCACTGAAGGGTTCCCACAACCTCACTGAGAAAGTTCCGCAGGGCAGGCCATGCAACACAGGGACCTGTGACCAAGGGGGTCTCTGCGTGATTGGCTCCGGGGACCATGTGCTCTCCAGAGACCCTGACAGTCACTTCCCGGTCCTGCAGGCGAGCACGGACGGGAACCTAGGTTGTAGGCTGCTGTGCAAATGTGGAATCTGCTGCCTGTGTGGCAAATATTTCCCTGGTCAAGGGCACCTGTTTGCTCCCTTCCTGCCCGACTGGCCACTCTCACTGGAGCAGATGCCCATGGCACCCTGGACAGAGTGGCTGTTTGGAAGTCCAGTGGAAAGCTGTGCATTTCTAAGGAACAGGCCGGTCAAGGGCCATCGGGAACGGTCAGCACGGAAGGGGAAATGTGGAACCGAAGCTGCCCTGCTGCCCTGCCTGCTGCCCTCATGGCGGTCCCTTTGATGCAGGAGTCACAGCTCTTGGATGTTCCATGGCTAGAAGGGTGTGTTCTGCTCCCCACTGCTGGGCCCGCACTGCATCCCCAAACACACATGCTGAAGCACCAGCCCTCAGGACGTCGGGAGGTGGCTGGACTTCAAGGCAGGGCTCCCACTGGGGCAACATGGTAACTGAGGTGGCAGGGTGGGACCTCATGAGAAGAGCTCAGGACACAGCCATCGGAGGGACAAGTTTGTGCAGACACAGCAGGAGGACACCCTCAAGGGAGACCAGGTCTGCTGCCACCTTGACCTTGGACACAGGGCTTCCAGGACAACTCGGACACTACTGTGTGCCCAGCAAGGACAGCGGGCTCAGAGCTCAGGCCTGCACCTGGCCCCACTCCTGACAGGTGGGTAGGTAGTGACTCTACAGTCAGGCACGGCCACCCTCTTGGATAGAGTGCCCTGGAAGTGTCCACTCTGATCAGAGTGTCCAGTGTGCCAGGACCTGGCTATGAGGAAAGCGACGGGACCCTCACTCTGTGGCAGTCATGATGGGTGCAGGACAGGTGCTGCCTGTGGGTGAGGGCTCGAGCAGTCACTCTCTGTGAATAAGCAAATCCCGTGATCGAAGTTCTCAGAGCCCTGGCTCAGGGGATCTGTGATTTTCCCTCCCATAGAACAGGAATTGAGAGCCCAGCATGAGCCTGTCTGTGAATTCCCACGAGAGCCTCCTATAGTACGGACAGCCCTGCCCTTGTCCCTGTTCTCCAAGGGGACACTGTGGCCAGCTGGACTTCCTGCAGAGCTGGGCCTCTGGAACCCTCCTCTTCTGTGGGGTCAGCTGTAGCCCAAGCTGTAGGTGGAAGAAGTGTCCCAAATGGAGGGCCCTGCAGCCTGTGGGCAGCCAGAGACACGGCCAGGCATGGGCTGGGGTGAATCAGAAGGGAAGGGGTTGGGGGAGCAGGATGTCCACTGTGGCATCTCCGGGCTGAAGCCAGGGTTTGACATTCACAGCATGGCTTGGGGTGTTTGCCGTGGGCTTGAGCCCTGGGGCCCGATCCCTCTCAGGAGGAAAGTGTGTCCCAGACACTGTGTGGCCCCAGGAAGATCCGTGACTGACAGCAGTGTCCTCCCCTACACTGGAGGACCCCCAGACACTGTGCCGAGGACTCTCCAGTACCCTTCCTCAGGGAGGCTGAGGTCTGAGTCTGTGGCCTGGACCCACTTGAGAAACGGGCCAATCCCAGCCTGTGCCCCTCCAGGACCTGGCAGCCTTGTGTCTGTGGTCACTTTTTGCCCAGCACATGTGGCCCCTGGAGCGGACTCACCCTTGCTCTCTACAGGCCTCCAACACTGAGGACTCAGTGGACAGCATCCCGTGGACCTTGTCCTGGACCTTATGCCACCCTACCCCTGAGGTCCTACAGTTTCTTCTGTCCTTCCCTCCACCGTGTGACCACCTCCCCGCTCCCCATTCTATGTCCTGTCTTTTGCACCCTGTGCCCCTCACCTCCCAGCCAAGACCACACAAGTTTCGTTGAGGAAGTTCCTGGGGCCCAAAGCCCGAGGGAGGGTCAAAACCACACTGTAGGAGAGGTTTGACGCAGGCCTGCATACTTACTGGGGTTTGGGTCTCTGGGGGACTTGGAGAGTGGGGGACCTTTGTCTGTGGGTGTCCTGACACAGCCGTCCTGGCTCTGTCTGCTTTCTCCGTTCTTGTTCCTAGGTTACCGTCCTGTCCTGGTCCTTGCTGAACTCACAACTCCAGATCCTCCTTCACACCTGTGGGCGGGTGGGCCCAAGCCGTCCCTGGGGGTCAAGGTGGAGCAGGACAGATGGGGCACCTGGGCACACAGTGAGGAGCAAACGCCACTCTTATGTCAGAGAATCTGGGAGACCAAGTGCTGGCCTGCCGTGAGCCGGCACAGAAGCCCAGGGAGCAGCAAGCTCAAATGCAGGAGGAACCCGTGAGATCAGACCGAACGCTGATAAGGCCGCTTGGTGGCCAGCCCACGTGTTCTGTTCCCACCTCAGTGACTCATGTCTGTCACCCATGTCACAGGTCACACCCCTCATGAGGGAGGGTGCACAGAGGTGCACAGAGGCTGCGGGACTGATCCAAGGGGGAGAACCGACACCAGCACGAAGCCAGGGGGACAGTGACAGCAGGGCTGGCTGTGTCTCCCGGCCCCAGGGGCTCCTGCTGTGGGCTCCCACCAGAGAGCCAGGCTCCAGGACAGCACCCAGGCCCAGGGTGGGGGAGCCAGCAGAGCTTCAGGAGAAGACACAGGTAAGACTGTAGAGGGCTCCCATCCTCGGGTCATCAGAGACCAAGCTGTGGCCCAAGAGCCCTGGCCTGAAGGAGGGTGGGGAGCTGTGTGATGCCCAACCAGTGTCCACTCAGCTGGATGCACCAATGTGGCACTGGGTCTCAGGACACTGGGCAGCCACTCCCCAAACCCAGAGGGTACCCCAAAACTCAGGACCGGCAGGGTGGGGTGCAGCCCTTAGCCCGAGGGTCCCAGGCCCATCTGCTCCGCCCTTTTGCAGGCAGTAAATGATAGGCCTCCGTTGGGCCTGTTTCCTTTAGTTCTAATGCTCCTGGGGTCTCTTATTTTATTTTTGGGCAAAATTAGATGAGAAGAAAGCTCCTTCTGTATGACAGTCACTTCTGCAAGAAAAGGCAAATCAAATTATTCCTAGGAGGCTCTGCTCCTTTCACGAAAGAAAAAATACAATTTGTACAGAGTGTTCCCTCCCTGAGGCTGGACACCCTGCTGCAAAGGAAGGGCCTTCAGTCACTGGGGAGGGCTCCACAGCATCCGTGACACCGTCCCTACATGCGGAGGCATGGTAGTGTGTTCACGTGCATGTGTGTGCCTGTTCACACGTGCAAATGAGTGTGACCCCAGTACGTGTGCATGAGTGTAGGTACGGGTGTGCACATGCCTATGTGAGTGTGTGTGTGCCAGGCTGTGTTTGCAGGTGTGGAAAGGCCTGAACATCTGTGGAAGGGCAGCAACCTGAAGTCCGGGGATGCCACTGCCCAGAGAAGGGAGACCCACGAGAAATCTTCTATCTGCTTTGTAGCAAAACAGAAAAATAGAAATTCCAAGTCTGCTTGTTAAGTCAGATGACAACCCCAGCTCTAAAACAACTGCAGTGGGGACCCGAGTGAAAGGCGAACCCCGACATGTGACCCCCAGTAAACGCAGGATGAGCCCCGAGGCACAAAGCACCTGCTCAGGGCTTGGTGTGGCGCCCATGCCCTGTGCACAAGTGGGTCATGGCACTGGCTGGGACGCTGCTCTGTGCGGCCCCCTCTGGTACTGTGGAGGAGCCCAGCACCAGGCCTGCCTCTGTCCTCAGCAGAGCCAGGAGAGGGCAGAGCACAGCTTCCAGCTCAGGCCTCCTAGGTGCTCCGAGGGGCACAGGCTGGCTCTGCCCAGGCAGACAGGGTGCAGGGTTCTCCCTGCCTCCTTCCCAGCAGCTGCCTCACCCCCCCTCCATGCTGTGGCCAACCAGTGCCCAGAGGCTTTGCAGTTGTGTGACCTGGGGTGGAGAAGCCGAGCTCAGATCTTACAGGGACTGTGCTGGCCCAAGCGATGGAGTCCCAAGCACGCGGAGTCGGTAGTGAGTGGTCCTCCCCAGGCAGGCTGCCTGCACCACAGATGCACACTCTCCTCCCCTTCCTGAGGTCCAAAGCCCCGGTGGCCCTTTGCCTCCTGACCAGCTGGAGCTCAGAGCTCTGAGCATCTCAGTTTCCTGGCATCCTCAGGGTCTCCTACCTGGGATCCTCTCTGCCCAGCAGACTCATGGAAGCTCACAGCTTCCCTGGAAGCCAGGTGCAGCCCGGGCCCAGCTGGGTGCCTGCTGACCACCTTCTCTGCTCTGCTCTGCAGGCTCCCGCCCTCCATCTCTCCTGGTCCATGATGCTGATGTGCCTGGGCCACACTGCTGCTGTGGTGGGGGCCCCTTTACTGTCCAGATCTTCTGGTTCCCACTGAGGGTGCCAGGAAGGAATAAGTCCTCCTCAGATGCTTCTCACCATGGGAGATGTTATTTTTGCTAAGTACATCTGCAAAACACATCTGTTAATTTTCTGTATTTGTTTATCCACAGTAAAAATCTGAATTAGTAAGTGTTTCACACTGCAGCTCACAAATAAACAGGAAAGAGACAACACAGCAGAAAGCTCAGGGCAAATGGGCTGGCATGTTCTTAGGCAAACGATCGGACAAAGAATAGGAGGAGAAGACATGAAGTTGGCTTGGCCAGACCACGTCCCCCAGGAGAGCAGGGAGCAGGGACAGGGAGTGGAACCCGGCTTGCTGGGCTCCATTGTGCTGAGGTGGGAGCCCTCTGGGCAGTAAGGATCACAGAAAGGTGGTGACCACAGGCTCTGGGCCCAGCTGCTTCCAGTGAGAGTGGCGGGACCTGAGCCTCCCTGGCCCAGGCTGATGTCTCTGTCCCAGCTGTCTCCCCCTGGTCCTGTCCAGTGGTACCCACAAGCCCACCTCACAGGAAACCAAGGCTGGCAAGGAGGGGAGCATGTGTTCATACCTGTGTACGTGGATCCCAGTTACCAGGATGCTTGGAGAGAAGCATCCTTTCCACACCTGCACCGGGTGGCAGAGCCTGAAGGACCCCGTGGTGCTGCCCCAGGGGCTTGGCGCTGGTTGGGGACGATGCAGGTTGGGCCCCACTGGGTGCCCTCCCATGAGGATTGGCCAGGAATGTGTGGGACGTCCCCCAGAGCACAGCCATCACACAATGTCCACGGCCAGGGTGACACAGCCCTTGGTCACTGGGTGGAAGGTGCACACCCACTGGGCAGGGGAGTGTGGCTTTGAGGGTTGTCACCTCCACAGACCCGTGTGGTGGCAGCTGAGCAACAGGAGAACCTTTCTCTCTATATGAAGAATTACACATCTGCAGAGCTAATGACAGGATGCTCTGTCACCCTGAGATTAATAGTGAAGGGACATTTTTTTCTTTTCTTTCTTTTTTTAACTACAGATGAATGCAGGTGAAGGAAGAGGCCACCATTCTTCCCAAGGAGGCAGAGACAAGCTCTCCAGCACCGAGGGCGCAGAGGGACACAGGGTCACAGAGCGAGAGGCAGGCAGGAGGGGGACAGGGAGCTGTGGTTCACGGAGACTCTCCTGGCATGGATTCCAGCCAACCTGCCTGCTCCTCGAGCGGCCAGCGTGTCCTGGGGTCATGGGGTTGTCACTCCTGGCCACCTTTCAGGTCCAAGCCCAGCTGTCCCCTCCCGTGCAGGCCAGGCCGATCCTGTTCCATCCTGTCTGGCTGCAGAGTCCTCCCATTTTGAGGAGAGCTTGCTGTGCTGTGGCACCAAGGCAAAGTCCCCTTGTTCATCAGGGCTCTGCACCCAGCCTGGCTCTGCACGGAGCACAGGGCTCAGGAAGCAGCAGGACCCCACCCCAGGCCCAGGCTGCAGGGACCAGCGTGAGTTTCCCACAGCTGCACAGCACAGGGGTGATGGCCAGAGCATTGAAGCCTCGATCGGTCCCACAGGAGTATGTGTGATGTTGGTGGTTCGTGTATCCGTTAAAAATCAATCAACCAATCATCAATCAACAGCCTCCTGGCTCTGTGTCTTAGAATCCTGAAATGCAGGCGTGGGCAGAGCTGGCTCCCTGGGCCCAGAGGTAGTGTCTCCTCCCTCTGAGGCCCCATACTCACCCTCCCTCTGTCATCTCTTCCGCCAGCTTCCTCTGCAGGCTCCTTGGGTCAGGTCCTCCCCACTGAGGCCTTCTAACTGTGGTCTCTGCAAAAGCCCTGTCTCCAATGCCCTCAGCTCCAGAACCTGGAGCTCAGGATGCTGAGGGGAGTTTTGGGGACACGGTCTCACTCATCACAGCTGAGGATGGTCATGCCGGCTACTCAGGTTGAGCTGTCCACAGTGGCACATGGGCAGGGCCACCTTGGGCTGAAGATGGCAAGGCTGGGGACATCGACAGAGACATCTCAGGAGGAGGAGGGAGGAGCAGGGGCAAGGGGGAAGAGGAGGGGAGGAGAGGGAGGATGAGGAGGAGGAGGGGAAGGAGCTAGAGGATGGGGAGGAGGAGGCATCACTGCGGCTGCTGTTCAGGCAGGAGCCAGTGAGGATCCCCACGCTGGTGACGCTTCTGCTTCTCAGACAACGTACTCTCGCGTGTGCGTGCCATAGCAGCCACCGAGTTACCAGATTGTAATATTAGATCTGGCCCCTGCAGGGATCCCATCATCCATTACATAAACAAATAGCACAGACTCATTAAGTTATTAATATCATATGGAGGCACAATCACCCTGTTTACATCTGTGAACAGATTTATGAGTAATACCACCATAAATCACCCGGAAGCCAGTGCACGCTGGGATGGGAGGGCTTCCCGGGTTGGGGCCTGGGCGGCAGCCTCCTTGTGGACTCTGATGCCCACCAGCACCCACCTTGGGTCCCGGGCCTCCCGGCCACCCGCCTCCCCACCACGGCACTGTGGTGGCTCTTGCCCTGGCTTCTGGTCACCTGGGTGGCATCTCTGTGAGCGGATCCTTGTGTGGAAAAGACAGCGTGTAGGTGCTTGGGTCGCTCCTTCGGGACTCATGTACTTTTTAAAATATTAAATTCTAAGGCCGTTAATGTTGTGACAGCGGGGATTCCGATCGTGGGGAGCTGATGGCGTATGTGACGCCTCTCCACTCTGCTTCTCCCCTCCTGCTCCCCGGCATCCCTCGGTCCTCCCGCTGTTTGAGAAGATCCACCTGCCTTGTCCTGCTGTCTGCCTTTCATTTTGCTCCTTACTTAGAGTTTGGGTTTCTCATGGAAGAGAAACCATACAATATTTAAGTGTCCCCGTCTGATCTAGTTCCCTTAAACTCCCAGGTCCAGTTGTACCTATTTTCTGTGCGTGCCAGGGTGCCCATGGGTATAAACACCACGCTCTCTCTGTCCATTCATCTGTCCATGGACACTCAGCGCTGTTCAGAGGGGACCTGTGCCAAGGGCTCCCACCTGGGCTTTTCCACACTCTCAAGCCAGGCCTCAGTTTACCGTGGGGGGGTGCCTCTGGAAGGAGCCCCTCCCAGCCAGTGTGGTCTGGGGACCCTCCTGACACTCTGTCACTGCTGCCCAGTTCACAGGAAGGTGGCCCTGTGCGTCCTCAGCCCCACAGGGTGCGTGGACGCCCGAGGCCTCCTGGACAGTGGCAGGGGCACGGGCTTTGCCCTGGCAGGGGCCCTCTGTGGTATTCCGACTACCTGGGGATGGGTTCCTGGTGACAGGGGGTGACTCTGTCACGCTGTCCTGCCTGCCCAGCCTCCTCTCCCTTCCTGTCACCCCTGCCAGGCCTCCTTCCCGGCCCATCCATGTTTCTGCCTCTTCTCTCTACTCGAGAGGTACCTGTTCCTTTGAAAAACCTGGATGCCACCTCCTCTCACACTCACAGCCGACTCCACTCCACTGTGGGTGCCTCTGGTCCACCTGAGCTCCCCAGGCACGTCCCTTCCTCCAGGCAAGACGGCAGGGTCCCTGTCACCCAGGACCCCTTCCTGCAATGGAGGAGGAGAAGCCTTCTTGCACCTGACCACTGCCATCCTGAGGACAGCTCAGGGCGGGCCTGGGACCTGGGGCTGGATGGCCTGTGACAGGCAGCGGGCTCACGAGAGCGACAGCCGGTGCTCACCGAGAATGTTCTTCAGAATTCAAAGGCAAAAACCCAAACATTCGGTTAGTGCCTTCCCGGCCTCAGTTGGGTTGGTGCAGCGGGGTGCAGAGCTATCAAGGCCCCTGGCCGGCCCCGCCTGGCTGTGTGAACAGGGCGGCTCATCTATCATCCTGCTTACTCAGGGCGCCAATTTAATTACGCAAACCTGATCCGAGCCTTAATTAAATTTTTAAAAATGTGGCCTGTTCTCTGCGGGAGCAATGGGGATGTCTTCCCCCGCTTCCTGCTGAATCGGCTCCTGTGAGAAGCAGGCTTGGGGAGGCATCAGCACTGAGGGTCACCAGGCGGGGCCCTTGCAGGACGCTAGGCCTCATTATCCCAGCACTCCAAGGCCCTGCGCACACCTCTGACAGTCGCCTGAGGACCAGAGATGGCCAGGACAGCGGCGCTGTTTGTCAGTTTAATATTGCAGAACCAACAGCCTGAATCTCTGTCAACAGCCATTATGTGGAATTGTACTGTGTTCCCTTTCTGTGAATCCAGCTCATTTCCCCGTGTGATGGATTCGGACCCCATCCTACTGTTTGCCTTCTGGGGTTCAGCCAAGGACTCCCCCGTCCAGGATGCGGTGTCTGGACTCTTCTGCAGGGGCGCCCAGACCCCACTTCTGTCTGGGAGGGATGGAGGGAGCCCGGGAGGGACAGAGGCCCGGGTCAGCACCCAGTCCATGCTCCCAGCCCCATGGGTCACTGCAGAGTGACCCATGAGCCACCAGAGGACCCACTAGTCCCTGAGCCCCGAGGTCCCAGCGCCCCTTCTGTGTGGGTCTGGCTTCCTACCTATGATGGACCTCAGGGAGCACAGGATGGGGAGACCACACCCACGGAGGACTGATGGGCCGCCTGTCCCTGGTCTTGTGGATTGTGGGGTCCTGCCCCAGGGGGCCCACAATGCTGTGGGCTCCTCTCTGCCTGGGATGGTGAATCACCAGGAGCTGGGGCTGGCCCTGGGCCCTGGGCAGGACGCAGGAAGCCAGGCGGAGCTCAGCCTGGCCACAGCAGACAAACAGGGGAGCAGTGAGTGCAGTCCCCAGCCGGGAGGGGCAGCTGCTGTCTCTGCAGCCCCAAACCCCCACAGCCCCTGCTCTCTCTGAGGCTCTGCCAGGTCCCTACAATGCCCTCAGAGTCCAGCGCCTCCCTGCCTTCATCCCACTGCTGTGCACCTCCCTGCCATGTCCACCCGCCCCAGGACCTTCGCTCCTGCCCTGCCTCCACTTGGCATCCTGTTGGCAGCACTTTATTTGGGTTCAGTGGCTCCGTTCAAGGGGTGCCTTGGTTGCCCCATTCACAAGTGCACTTCTGATCCCACGGCTGTACCCGGCCTGCATCACCTGTCCGTCAGCACTATGGTCTTAATCATTTCCCTCTGGCAGGGACAGGACACCTGACACCCACAGTTCAAAGGAAGAGAGGTTTTACTGTTTGGAAGTTTCAGTCCTTGCTTGGTCGGCAGCTCCAGGCAGCGTGGGAAGGGTCTGGCGCAGGAAAGCAGCTCACCTCATGGCGGCCCAGAAGCAGAGAACAAAAAGGAGCCAGGGAGGGAGACAAACGCTCCCAGGTCATCGTCCAGTGACAACCTCTCCCGGCCATCCACACCTTCTGCCAGCATGTCAGCCACCCATGCCCGTAATCTAGCTACCACCTCAGGCCCTGAGTGTGATAGCAAGAGCTTCAGGGAGTACCTGGACTAGGCCACCGCAGCTGCCCCTCCGCCCGTACCACGGTCTCATGTCCCTACAGAATTCACTGTGAAACTGAGGTCCCCTTGGGGCATTTTTTCTGGCTGCAGTGTTGGGAGCTGGGACATTCTGCAAGTGACTTAAGTTAAATGAAACTGTAAGGGTGGAGCCTTGATCCAGTGGGACCACTCGATAGCCTGCGTCCACTCCTGGCCCTGCAGAGTATCCCCATCAGCAAGAGGGAGATGCCAAATGTGGCCCTGACCTCTGAGCGGCCTTCAGCTCTGCCAGCCCAGTGTCCACCCTGTCCCCCAGCCTTCTCCTCAGCAGGGAGGGGCCAGCATGGGCACTCATGAGGGAGGTTTCTCTTGGCTCAGGGGGGTTCGGGGGTGCAGTCAGTGGTCTGTTGGCCTGTTGGCTGGGGCCTCTGCTCTGGGTGACACAGGAATGGATGTCACATCCTCAGCCAGGGCAGAGCAAGGGAGGAGAGCTATTCCCTCCCAGGGCAGTTTGGGGACCTGGCTTCCTCCAGGAGGCCCCTGCAGGGCTCTGCCACTCCCAGTAGCTACAAGTCAGTGACCGAGCCTTAATATAGGCCTCTGAGATTCTTGGGGCTCCCAACCTCTGGCCTGCTCACCTTACAAACCACAGTCTGTGGCACTGTGCTGACAGCAACAGAAAACACCCCGGACTCTGCACGAGCAGGTCCCACTGGAAGCAATTTCTGCAAAGACGAAACGGGCTGCCCGTCCTGCCGTGGAGGGAGGCTCCAGGGTCCTGTCTGTGCGCACGGAGGGCCCCGCTCTCCAGGCTGTAAATTTATCCAATAGCAGAGTTTCTGAAAGTATATAAAGCAGAAATAAGGCTCCCTCCAGACAGAGGAGCCGTGCAGCAAAAACGAAGAGCTCCTTCCATGCGGGCCTTTTATGGGAGACGACAGAACCCGCCGCCATCTATTCCAACGCGCAGCCTGGATTCTAAATCACTGGCACGGCGAGACTGACACGAGTGAGATTATTCCCGTGCACTTTCAACGAGAGATGCAAAATACGTGATAATCATTATTGTAATGTCACTTGGGCCCTCTTGGTCAAGCAAAGATATTTCACAAGCTGCATGTCCAAGTCAAAGCTGGCTACAAAATATTTAGGGACTCTACCACGGAATCGCCACCCCATGAATCAGCGCCTGGAGTCCCAGACAGGGCTGGAAATCAGAGGGAGATAAATTTTCATTTTTTTCACTCGCTCCATTATCCACTCCAACCGAAGTGCCCCAGCCCTGTGCTGTCCCTGGCACCAGTTCCAGGGCTTGTCCTCGCAGCCAAGCTGTCCTTGTGCCATCAATAATTACGGGGGCCATGGCAGTGGGGGTGGAGGATGGCTGTGCTCATCCAAGCAGGCCGTGCTGCCCGCAGAGCCTCGTGCTGTCCGGTTTCCTGGAGACCTGGACACGTGCATGAGTGCACGTGGGTCATCTGTCTGTGCTGCGAGGCCTCTGCACAGCCAAGGGGACTCTGAGATGTCACACGCTCCATGGATAAGCTCAGAGGGTCCTAGACAGGCCCTGCCTGGTCTGGCCCTCAGCTTGATTTTCAAACAAAGTTTTATTGGTACACAGTCCCTCTGCAGCCACTTTAAAGCTAGAGGCGGGTGGGCAGGAGAGTTGCCATGGAGACCACAGGGCCCTGGCAGGGCAGGGCTGGAGGTGTTTGCTCCCCCTCTGCAGCACAAGGGCCTCTTCCCCGGGTCAGCAGCTTCCACTGGAGCTCCGTTGACCTGGGAGCGTCCCGGGAAACCCTGCCGCTTTGACGTCAGCTCCTAGCCCCTCTGCTCGCTGTTTCTGATCTTTAAAAATCAAAAACAAAAACCTTGAACAACCCTCAAATTCTGAAACCAAACATAACCCTCCCAACTGCCAAGAATGTAAATAGAGCCTGAACCAAAGAGCAACTTTGGAACATCTGAGAGGAGTTTCTCACAATTTTCTTTGGAAATAAGAGAGACATATGGACTATCCATTTTATTTATTTCATAATGAACATTGCTGGTAGAAATAACACAAAATAAATGTGGCAGAGAAGAAACTTCACACAGGAAAATGTATTATTATCATTTTCACAAAATTTAAATATGGAAAACTTAACTAGGAAAAATTTGAACTATATAAGAAGTTTATGCACTTAAAAAGGAAGCTCAGTGTTTATGGCTGGTGTAACTGGTAAAACCTGGTGACATTATACGAATTATTGAATCAAATATTTGTAAAAGTTTTGTCCAAGTAGTTCATGCAGACAAAATAAATTTCAGCAAAATAAAACTGAAAGTAAAACTACTTATCTGAGTCATATAAAAAATAATTGAATAATTATATTAGTGTAAAAAGTTCTATTTGAATAAACCTTAAGGTGATGTATGATACTATTTCCAATATTTAATTTATTAAAAATAAATCAGATGTCTATATGGATTTAAACTGTCCTAATCCTATATGCTCATCGGTTATCAAGATATCCAACCATCTATCCCATTCCTACCTTTTCTTCTGTCCACCTACCGTTCATTCACCATACCTCCACCATTCATATACCCATCCACCATCCATGCACCACCCATCTCCCCATCCACGCTGCATCTACTCACCCATCCATTTATCCACCCACTCATCCACCCACCCATCCACCATCCACCCATTCACCCACCCACCCACGTACCCTCCCATCCACCATCCATACGTTCATCCACTCATCCACTCACCCATCCACCCATCCACGTATCTGCCATCCATTCATCCGTCCATTAACTATCCATCTATCCATCCACCCACCTAAATATCCACATAGCCATTGAGACAATCAACTACTCTTTAATTCACTCCACAAAAAAATCTTGAAATCGATAACAGAGAATATGTGATAAGTAAAATAATGAACATGTTAGAATCTAGAAAATATTATCAGAATTGGAAGCCAAACCGTGAGAAGATGGAGAAGAAGACATGAGGTGATCAGTGGGCCTGATCAGCACCAACAGGAGCCCACACTCAATTCCAAGCTTCTTGGCGGACAGGGCAAGCCCACCCAGTCACACATCCTTCCTGTGTGTGAGAGGAAAATGCGCCACTGCTATGAGAAAAGCAAATCCTGGCTTGACACTTGGGTCCAAGCACTTACATCAGGGACACTTCATTGGGGTCACAGCAGAGGACAGTGTCCTCTGGGGCTCACCCAAGGACATGCCAGAGGGGTTCTTCTGCAGCTCTTGAGACGCCAGGCTTACTGTGCAAAGACGTGGAGACAGACTGGGAGGAGCAGTCTCTGGGCTGTGTTGGACTTGCTCTGTGAACTCAAAGAATGCAATTGCATTTCTTTGTAAAATGCAGTAATTCAGATGTTCTAGTCTTTGAGAGCAATGATTTCAACAGAAAGGCTGAATCTGACATGAGAGAGACTGACGCCCTCTATCTGGGGTTGTCTTGTAAAACCATGGCTTAGTTAGGGATCAAATCGCATAGCCATATGCAGCGGGTTGAATGGTGGTCCCCAAACTGTGTCCCCTGACACTCTGGAGGTAACCTTACTCGGAAGCGCCCGTGCAGATACCTCTAAATTGCAGAGCTCAAGAGGACATCACCCGATGAGCCTACACCCGAGGGTGAGTGTTCCTGTAAGAGACAGAAGAGGAACATCAGGGGCATGCGCAAGTGGAGGAGGGGCAGAGGGCTTGTGTGAGGAATGCTGGGTGCAGTCTGCAGGGCCCCGGTGACGGTGTGGAGCTGGCTGCCCCAGAGCCTCTAGAGGAAGCCAGTCCCCCCAAGCCTTTGCTTCCAGAACTGCCTGGCCTGGGATTGTTTGTTATGAGAACTCTCGGAGATAAGCATGTCTTCTAGCCTGAATTAGCCTCAGTTAGCCTCATCCGGGGAGAGGGGTGATTGATGCCCTTGGATCTGGAATCCTGGCTTCCTTCAAAGGGACTTAGAAAACGGTAGCTGTCTTCTCTAATGGACTTGAATTTCTATAATAATGGATTTATAAAATAATTGATATGTTATCAAATGAATGCAGAGATCTCTGTATGCAAATACTCTTCTTCCCCCACCCCCACTTATCTTAAACAGGAACAGAGATCTAGGTAAGGAGAGGTAAGGAGACGGTCTCTTCCAACAGCCTGGACACAAGGCTGGCGTTAAGTAATGACTCTCGGGATGGGTCACATCCCTGCCTGTTAGAAATTCTTAAAGTTGGCTGTTTGGCCAGCTCCTGCTGGGCACAAGGTGAGGAAGATGGGACCTGAAAGTGGGGTTTATTTTTGCAGGAGAAACTGCGGTGACAATCTCATGAAATTTGAGACTTCAGATAGAAATTCCGGGAGCCTCAAACTTTCTGAGTGCGGGTTTTCAGCACCCTTCTTCCTCATTACAATAGAAGGCGTCTTTGTCTCTTGCCTGAAGATTTTTCCCTCTGAACACTCAAAGCTCTGCCGAACCAAGCCTTCCATCCAATTATCTCACTGAAGCTTAATTTGACTGTTCTGAGCTTCTGTTTCTGGAACCATGTACTTTTGTTGCTAAAATTATACTTGGCTATCCTGAACTTGGTTGCTTCAATTATAATTCTCACTTCTGAAGATTTATTTCTTGCAAAAAACCCTCTGAAGCTGCATGGAAATGTTCCCACTCCTCCTCTGTTACCTGCCGGGGCAGGACTTGTCCTTACCATGGGGACATGGAGCCTGGCTTCCTTGGGGAAGTTCGAGAGACCCAGGAGCCCCCCAGCAAACTCAGATCCAGTGACAGAATTCACAGGAGAGCTGACATGTTCCTAACGGACTCCCAGGATCCACTGGTAAGCCTGCTTCTCTTCCTTTCCCATCTTCTCCAATTCAAACAACACGCATCAGCAGTGAATCCATGTTTCTACTCAGTAAGTGGGGCTGGAGGTGGACCCTGCTTTCTGGCACATGCCTGTGTTGTTGTGTCTCCCGCATGGCCCTATCTACTGCGGACCTACTGTGTGCTGGATTCACACCACTGACTCTGACTCCAATCTCGCCCACCAGACAGAGATGTTGCCCTTTCTCTTGATTTCCTGAGAAGGACTTGAAAGTTTGGAGTTCAAGGTCGTACAGATGCAGTGTGGGGAGAAGGAGTTCACCCCGGGTGTCTCCCCACTGCGCCAGAGGGCTTCACGGAGAGGTGAGAGCTCACTGGACACACCCCAGAGGTGTCCCACTGAGGTGACCTATGGCCTGGCTGCCTGGCCTAGCTCATTTGTGAATCAGAGCATGCACCTGGTTCTTAGAGTTGCACAGCTGTGTCTCACGAGCTCCAAGAAGTGCTACTGCTAAAAAAGCAGTTTAACTCCCCTGAACCCATGATTTAGTCATTCCTTTCCAGAATAAAACTCCCAAGCAACTGTCCGAGGGTCATGCTTGGGGACTTGGTGTACTCCAGAGGGAACTAGTGACAGACCCCAACCCTGCAATAGCCCGGTTTTGGGGAGTCCCTCTGCACTTCGCTCCTGGCTTTTCTCTCTGTTTGATGTAGGAAACCGGCCAAAATTCACTGTCCTGATAAAACGACACTTCAACCTTTCTCTTCCCAGTTTGCCAGCCCAGGGTACTTGCACACCTTAACTTCTAAGCACCGTCTCTATGGAAAATATTTGTAGGCGGCCCTTGATGGACACAGGGGTGTAGGCCACCTGCGGCAGGCTGGGAGCCCAGCAAGGTGCGAGGAAGCGTGCCTACAGGGTCTGCTTGGGCCCCAGTGCTGCTTCCGACCTCCAGGAAGCTTCTTTCAACCTCTGCACCTTCAGAGAGTCCTCCCTGGGGGAAGATGAGTGGAGAGCAGGCCTCCCTGGGCCTTGCTGGCAGAATGCCCAGCTCACAGCAGGCTCTGGACCAGCTGAGCACTTTGGGCAGCCACTCAGATGAGCCTTGTCCCACCACGGCTCACCCCACAGGCAGGAGAGCCCCTAGCTCCCTCCCGGGGCTGGAGAATTACCCGGAATGGTTCCCAATCGGCTCCTGCCCGAGCACCTCTTTGCTATTGATTCCCGGCTCTGCTCTCCCTACTTGTGGGCTTGATGGATGCTTCCTAGCTGCTCGGTTTATTAACTTGATGGGGTGACCACTGTCCCCAGCCCTACCCTGACAGATGCCCTGGAGATGCTCCGACCATGCAGCCAGGGAAGCCCAGGCCCAGCCCCATGGGGATCGTCATGGTCATAGGTGCCTGCCTTGTCCTCGGCTCCCAGAGCTGCTCAGGGCTCATCCTTGTGCTGTCTGGTAGAGGGACATTGTAGCTACAGTTCAGGTGACACCAGCTTCAGGAGACACGTGGAGGGAGCTGCCCCTCACTGCTGGTCCTGGATCAAGGATTTTCCCCTCTGCCCTTGACCTGCCAAGTACCCCAAGACCAAGTCCATGCTCAGCATTCCATAGCTGAACACTTTGCTGTCCCCGGGATGCCAGTGGAGGAGGAGGGAGAGCTGCTTGCAGGCCAGGGGAGAAATGTCAGCTTACGTCAGTGGAGGAGGCTGTGTCCTGTCCTGTGTGTGTCTTCCCTCTCCTGAGCTCCTGGCATTGGCACAATCACAGACTGTAATCACCTAGCTGCTGATGAGTCCACTCAGTGACCACAGTCTGCTGGAGGCTCTTTCGGGAGGTGTTGTTGTCAACACTGGTTCTCCAATGCTGCAGAAAACCAGTCCCAGGTGCTTGCTGGGGCTGCCCGATAAATACAAGGATGTGAGCCTGGTTGGGTGTCATCCTTGTCACTCCTCGTGAACTCTGGGCCCCAATGGGGCTGTGATGAGCAAACCCAAAGCCCTGCATGCACACTGTTCTCATTTGCCCTGTGAAAGCCCAGTTCCTGCCGAGTCTCCTTACCCACACAGCTGCTGAGGCTGGGAGCTGACCTGCCCTCCCCAGTCCCGCAGGCTGAAGACTTGATCTCTACCTTCAGGAGGTGGGAATTATTTACAGAAGGTCTCAGGTCACAGGGATGCCTGAAGGGGACCGCAGGACCTTGTCATCCTCTTCCTTTCTCTTGCTTCCCAGGTGCAGTAAGTGAACACCCCCCTCGGCCCTGTGTGTCGGCTCTGATGTACTACACACCTCACAGACGTGGAGCGGTAGGACCAAGAGGACATGGACTGAGCCTTCTGCAACTGTGAGCCAGAGTATGCCTGAAAGGTGGCCACGCAGGGTGTGAGCCCTGTGACGTATACTCACTAGAACTTCCCGTTACCCTTTTGGCAGTCATAGGAGGTGTCACAGGACACCTTTCGGTTGGCAGAGGTAAAGCAGGAAGGGCACAGCTGATATTAGCCGTTGTGTTTATGGGTCCTCAGGCAAATCTTGAGGATGCATGAACGCATGGGAGTCTCCTGCCTTACAGGCATCCCCGAGGCTGGTGTGTGGGCGTAGGAAGCCTTGAGCGACTCTGTGGACGCTGTAAACGCCTGGCGTTGGGTTTCCAGCAGGAAAACAGGCAGCCCGGCCCTGGAGTGAATGCCAAGACAGGTAGACAGAGCGTTTGGCTTTGTAATTCACAGCTATTAAACTTCTCAGAGACGCGGCGGGAACTTTTCTTGGGGTAAGAAAGTCTGACAAAAGATGAAGAGAACTTAATGTCACTTTGAGACCTGGGCTTGGGTGCAGTCTCTTAACGCTAAGTGATGAACGCCTGGCCTCCAGAGTTCACACCTATCAACCCTGCAGCTCCTCGGATCCACCAGGCCCCAGGGATGCCAGGGTGGGAAAATAAACCCAGGCAAACTGTGAGGCTTCCTTGGCTCCAGGCCCAATGAATAATTTCATTTTAAGAGACATAAGGGAAATATTTTTAAAATGCAAAATATATTCTTTGGTTTTTGGCAATCCAATCACTCAGTTAGTGTAAAAACATAAATTCAAATATCAAATTGTGTTTCGGAAAAAAAAATCATGGCAGTTTCTCTAGAGACATTAACACAATGGATCGGATACGTTATAGAATTAAAGTGACTGAGCCTGGGGGTGTCCAGGGCCACCCGTGTCCAGGCAGCTATGTACTCTCAGCCTTGTGCTTTTTTGTCTAAGTGGTGTCTGTCCAGGCAGGAGACAGAGGCCTGACAACTGTAGTGGACCTCAGTGCATCAGTCCCCGCCCACCCTGGGGCCGGCCCCAGCCACACAGGATGCTGTCTTTCTCTGAATTTATTTGGAAAACAGCCATGCTCTGACTTAGATATATTTTGGATTCACATTTCCTTTCTCAGAGAAATCTCAGCTCAGCTCGATACACTAACTGTGAGAGATGCCACCGGGACACGTAATTCAGATGTTTCGATTCTTACCTGAAGTTTCTGGGTGAACAAAAGGATTCCGAATGTGCTCTTGATCTTCATTTAAATAGAACCACTCGGCAAGATGTGAGTGTGAAAGCAGCACGTTCTTTCAGACAGCTTGGAAAGTAGTTATCACAAAGATGTAGAAAAAGATTTAATTTTTCTCTCTTGTTGTCTTGGAAGATGTCATGAGCAGTACTCGGATGCCCGTGGAGATGCCACACTCCTGACAGCAGGAAGCTCCTGGAAGGCTTAGACGTGACGCTTTGGAGCCCTGAAGTAAGAGGACAGAAGAAGGCTCGTCCACTTCACATCTGAACAGCCGGGCTGGGAATCTGTTCAGTGGGTGACGTTCTAACGTCCGATCCTCAAGGCTGCGCCCTCAGAGTGACCCACGTCACGCTCGGGCTTTTTGTGTCTTTCCAGGAACATGGCCACACGCGGAGATGGTGTCCACTCTGGGAGCGGGCCTGTGGCCAGGCTACTTCTCTTCCTCCTGTAGCTCTGTCCTTTGCCTCCAGGGCATGCGCGCCCAGGACAGGAAGAAAGAGGCCTGTGAGCCCCGGAGTGTGTGTGGGCTGGATGCTGGGTCCTGCATGATGGGAAGTCGGGGTAACAGGCCCAGAGGAGGGTTCAGGAGCAGGGACAGCTGAGGTGTCTCTGAAGTTCAGGACTGAGGCTGCTTCTGATTATCCTGAGAGAGCAGTAGATGACCATTGTCACAGAGAAAGAAGCCACAGTGAGTGTGGGCCTGCGGCTCCTGACCTCAGAGACTCTTTCCTTCCCTATCCTCCACCGAGATGGGGAGCAGCTGGGACCCCAACTCAGTGCAGATCCTTATAAGACTCCAACAAGTGGGAAAGAAACCAGAGGGGACAATGTGTGGTTGTCATCTACTGTGGTCCTCTGTGGGAAACAGCACCCCCAAAACTGCTGAGCAAATTCTGAACATAGACACCCTAGATGAGGGCATCTTTGAGGAAGAAGGGAGCCCTGACATCCAGCCAGGGACCCCTCCCCAGGAGCCAGGGTTGTGTAGGGTGTGTCCCCAGGGATGGAGCCCTGCAGGGACGCTGTGTGAACATCTCTGTCCTGGTCCCTTCGCCTCTCCAGGGGCTGGAGGCAGAGGCAGGATTATGGCGTTGAAGAGCACAAAGCTTTATGATCACATCGCTTCAGAGAGAGCCAATTCTAGCTTCTCTTTGCACTCATGAGGAAAAATACGGCTGTTTCAGTCCACCCCCCTTAACGTCAAATATTATCTTGCTAAATTGCCAATCTGAAAGATGAAAAACGTTCCGTAATTGTTCCCATTTGCATTTGAAAATGACTTGTGCGGCTGAGTGTTTCTCCAGCTTTGGCGCTCAGGTGACTTAAGTGCCCTTGTTTGTCTCCCTGTGTTCTCCTCAAATTCTCAGGACACTAAGGCCTCCCCGCATTCCCTGCTAAAACTTTTCTCAGTGTGCTCTCTGACTTCAAATGACAGAAGAAAAACGAAAACATGACTTTATGACAATAAATAACAGTGAGCTAAGGTTTCCTGTTAAGCGATAGAGACTGATAGATTAGCGTAGAGTGTGGAAATCATTTACAGGAAGTACACAGAAATAAAATGGCAATTTGCTGATCTGTATCATAAAGGAAAACTCTGCTCTGCGTGGCATGAAGCCTGCTACCCATTTGGGGAAGCAGTTCAGATCAGACTTCCCTCCCCCAGCTCTCCCACATCCCAGCAAGGGTGGACGGTGCCGCGTGCGTGACATGTTTTATGAAATATTCAAAATACCTGCCTGAAATCTGTCTTCTGGCCTCACAGTGTGTGCTGTTCACTACCAAACTGACCAGCAGTGGACTCTAAATCTATCGTCACATACGGCGACCCTGGGAGTAGCTTTCATTGCCCCTAAGTTGCAAGTGAGGACACAGGCTCTGGGCGTCCCTGGTTTCCTGAGAGGTATAACCAGAGGGGAGGAGCCCCAGTGAGACCAACACTAATGCTGCCTTTGCTGGAAGTGCCGTGCAGGAGACAGGAGACGCGGGGGCCTCAGGAGCCTGGTGGTGAGCAGAGCCGGGGAGCTGGGGAGGACCGATGGCCCTGCCAATGTAAAACAAATTCCAATTCAAGGCAACAATCGTCGGGTGGATAACAAGGGACATCAGCTGATAAAAAGGATGTGGCTCAGGGAAGGCATCTCAGTCCTGAGCATTTGGTGCTAAATACCAGCTTCTAAATAGACCAATAAAACACTTTTAGAAATAGACATATAAGTGAGTGGAAGCCCATTCATGGGAGATTATGCGTCTCATAGGCTTTGATGGAATAGACAATGCATAAATTAAGGGTCTAATGAATTTGAATAGTCTAACTAACAATGTTGCATCCACACATTTTTATCCAGTATCGGATCATCCAAAATTATTAATTCATCTTCCCAAGCCACTATGGAACATTTGTAAAATAGTGATTATATGTGATGCCTTTAAATAATGTGAATGAGAGCTAATGTATTAAGCTAGAAATAAAAATTTAAAAATATACACAGCAGCCAGCCGTGGTGGCAAAAGCCTACAATCCCAGCACCCTGGGAGGCTGAGGCCGGAGGATCGAAATTTGAGCCCAGTCTGGGTAACTTGGTGATTCAGTGAGACTATCACAAAATTAAAAAAATAAATAAAGTGAAACAGGGCTTGAAATGCAGCACAGTGTAAATGCCACATATTCAATTCCCAGCAACACAAAAACAGACAAACATCACAGAGTGGACTGCTTATGAAGTAAGAGAACTTTGCATCAGAAGACATGTACAGTCAACCAGGGAGATGAATAGGTCAGAATCTCAGAGGTGCCCCAAGCAGAAAGTCAGGAGAGGAGGAGCCCAAGGTGCATTGACAGAAGAGATGGAGAGGGTCCCCTGGGTTCAGCTCTGCCCTTTGGAGCAATCCTTTTCCCCTCAGCCGGAAGCCTGTCCTGATCGGGGTGGCCCCACTTGGACAGCACCAAGCTGCAGTTATGTTTTGGGGTGACAGGCGGCCCTTTGGTAACAAGGCCTTGACCTTCGTCTGGAGCAAGGGTGTCCTTCCCCCAGGGCAGGCCCTGCCAGGGTGGTGCTGACTTTTGGAGGGGCAGACATGTGCCGGGCAGCTTCTCAGTGCAGCAAACCACAGAGAGGAGAAGTTCTTTCTCCCTTCGCTCCCTTTGCTAAAGGAAACTTCCTGGTGTTTCTGACTCTCTAGAACCTGCAAGATGCAGGAGGTGACCTGGGCGACTCGGCTTGAATGCACAACATGGCTTCAGCATTGATTAAACCAAACCCTGTCTCCGTGTACTATGCACAGAGCTGGCTGTGCTGTTTGTTCTCTTCCACTGGCTCTAAGCAATGCAAATAGGCCTAGCTAAAGTACTGACATGTAATCCTTGAGGCCAGCCCACAGTGTCCTGTTTCCTGGCACCTACACTGTGTTCCCTCTAAACGGTTGAGCACAGTGAGATGGCAGAGCCACATAGCTCAACTCGTTTTGAGCCACAAGATAACAGGCTATGACTTCCCAGGGTGCAAAAGTTTACATATTGGAGACTGAAGCGGCAGCCTCCTAAGCCATTCCAGTGCCACCTCAGCTGAGCCACGTAGACCTGCCTTTCCGCACGCCCTCCTCCCTGCACGCTGCAGGGGCGCCTGCTCTCCACCTGGCTCCCATAGCTCACATGATTCCCATCAACCTCACAGTCACACATCCTTGAGCCATTCTCTTCTTCATGAGAAAATAAATTCCATGTGAGGCTTCAGATCAAGGCCTTGGTCTCGCGCATCCTCACCTGGACCGGACTCAGAACCCCTTGGCTGCCCGTAACTGTAAGTATGTCTCAGTGTCTTTATTCTTGCCTTGGGTTGCATTTGAAGCGGTAGATTGGAATTAACTTGCCAGCATTCCATTAATGTACTCTTAGGATTACAAGTACAATTTTCCGGACTTCAAGGAGGACAGGAAAAGGGATTACAATATTACCAGGAATTATAGTTGGGTTTACAATAGAAGGAACTTCCATGCATCTCTACAGGAAGACAACCTAGAAATCGAAACATTACCCACTGGCCAGGTCCTGTCAGGCACAGGAGACCAGAGGTACACTGGGCACAGGCTCATCCAGACAGCACAGCTGGGACCTACGTCCCTGAGGCACAAGCCTGCAGCCATAACCATGGGGAGCATGTGAATCCGACTCTGCCTGAGACTGATGGGCTGTCCTGAGCGGGAGGAGCTGCCAGACCATCATCCTAGGAGGCCCCCACCCTCACAGGTTCCCCAGCAGGACCAGGGAGGAGGCCCCTGCAACTCCACGGGGATGAAGGAACACACCGTGGGCTTCTCCATACTGGGTTCTGCTCTGTGAGGCAAAGTACTATCCCGCTTGGTCGGCAGACTCAGCCCAAACCCAGTCAGACTCAAGCAGCAGATCTTACAGGCAGTAACGGACAGACTTCAGGATGTGTGCAGAAACGCCAGGGACCTAGAGTGGACAAAATGATACTGAAGGAAGGAACTCTGAGGGAGTCCTGCCCCCTAATTCCAAGATGTGGGAGAAAGCTTACAGAGCAGGCAGATTTGACAAACTAACAGGTTAAGGCAACAGAATAGAGACCCATGCAGATAGGCACGGCAGTGCCATGGAAAAGTCGCCATGTTTTCAATGAGCACAGGCTGTAACCATCAGCTATCCAAATGCGAAACACAAAATTGTAAAATGTACAAGAATGGGACTGTAGTACATAGAGCTGTGCCCCACGGGGGCGTGGGGTAACTGTTACACACGTATGTCAGAAGTGAGTCATTGAATCAGGGGTGGCAGGAGCGGGGAGCCAGGGCTGCCTGGGTTAGGTGGACGCTCAGAGTATCAAAGCAGGAGGCTAGAACAGTGCACGTTGCAATGAGAGAGAACTGGAGACACGCGTGTGAATTCACACTACTGTCGTGCAGACACAGAGATCCCAGGAGTGTGTACATGGAGCGCAGTGTGCACACGGGTCAGGATATGTGTGTACAGTGCAGACAGCCTGGTGCCATCAGCCAAGAAGAAGCAATGGTGCCCTCAAGGCAAGGATGGTGTGCGCCCAGAGTCTGGTTTCTAATGTGCGATGGGAAAGGACCCAGGGAAAGGGCTCATCCAGGACAGAGATGGGGACAGGCCAGGTGAGCCTTGGGCTGCCGCTCACCCAAAGGAAGGAAGCGCTCAAAAGACAACGTGGTGGGAGCTGAAGAGAAACCAGCGGGAGCGAAGGGTTCTCTGGGGCCCAAGCGAGAGGAAGGAGGGCACAGGGAGGAGAGGCGCGGGGGGTCACAGGCGGGGTGGGGAGCACAGAGGGGCCCAGCGCACGGACAGTTGCGTTCTGGGAGGACGTTGGGAAGATGTGTTCCTTCCTAAGTCCGACCAAGCGAGTCTTACACAGTGAGATAAATGTGCAACGTAAAGCATCAAAACCCAAACACATATACATGCAGATGAGTCCCCGACTGACCTGGCAGACTAGGTCAAGCACGGTGTCCACCATGACGCGTCCTGGCTGGGCAGTGAGAGGTCATTTCCCTCTGTGGTCTCCCGCCCAGCCCCACAGACCTCCCTCAGGATGCTCTACCAAATATGGGCCTGGCACTGCTTGAACTGCCAAGCTTGCCCCAAAACAGGGAAACATCAAGGAGCTGCCAGAGACAAGAGGTGTCCAAGGCGCTAGGAGGACTCCGGGTAATGAGGTTATGGACGAGACCCTGGCGGAGGAAAAGGACATCAGGTTGGAACCCAGAAATCTGAGTAGAGTGCAGACGTCGGCTGTTAACGCTGTTTCAGGGTTAACTTGCCTCCCGGAATGGTACTGTGCCAGTGCTGGCTCTGTGCTAAGCGCCCCATGTCAATAGAAGACGTTCAGACAGGGAAACCAGGTGTCAGGAGCGGGAATTTCCTCTGGGCGTCTGAGATTCTTTTAAAACAAACAGTTCATTAAAATATTTGTAAAGGGCTATTATACTTTAACAGCAAACAATTTAATTAACCAAAAGGACGTACTCTTCAACTTCTAGAAAGTACTATGTAGGCCAAAAAGGCTGCACAGCCATAGAAAAAATTTCTCCAGGACAGTCCCACTGCATGTAGTGCTGTCTGTTTTCTACTCTGTGAACTTCACTGACCTCTGCCGTGTGGATGCAGGGTTTTAATTTTTTAAAAAATTTTTGCAGGCTTCGATCTTCTATTCTTTTTGTTCACTTGCTATTTTTCAATGTCTAATTAAAAAAGAAAATGAAAACCTATCAGCTGCCTTATTTCCACCAAGCAGTTACCTGCAATTATACAAAACACAAGGGTGAGCATCACTGTGGGCAGAATTTTTCTCTTTTATTGAGCAGCTTTTTAGGGCAATAACTCAAAATTCATCCTCCAATCTAACACTACAGATCCTTCCATGCTTCTTGATATTTATGAACATTAAATGACTGTGGAATAAAGAAAAATTAAAAGCAGAGGAAATTGTGTCACTGTATCTGGCTTTCTTCATACTAATAACAAATTCTGGGGAGGCTGTGGGAAAAGCAGTGTCTTAGTTATTTTTTACTCGTCACTGAGACAAAATACCTGAAGCCCAAAGTTGGGAAAGGAAAGGTTTATCTTACAGTTTTTGGAGGTTTCAGTCCACACTCAGTTGGCTCCCAGGCAGGCGGGCATGGCTGGGCCACAGTTCATGGCGGCTGCAAACAGCAAGCCGAACCAGCAAAGAGCAAGACACACCTTCTTCCTGCCATTACATCACATCCTGGCTCCACCCCTATGTGGGTGGAGCACTGACACCATCTATCCAAGCACGAGACAATGAACGAATAACAAATGCACAATTCAAACTCATGAGAGCTGGGGGACACAGACAAACCATGACAAGCAGCTTTCTCCATGGCTGGAGGGGTGTAAACCAACACAACCTCTTTGGAAATCTTCATGGCCATCCCTCAAACAATTGAAACTAGAAATTCTATTTGAGCCAGCTGTTCCTCTTCAAGGTATCTTCCCAAAAGAGTTAAAGGCATCATGTCACATGACCCATGTGTGCCTGTGTTTGTACCAGCACAATTCATAATAGCTAGATCTAGGGAGCAGTCTACATACCCATCGATAGAGAGATGAATTAATACAGAAAATGCACATTGTGCACGATGGAGCTACTCTGTCATAAAGAAGGGAAAACTTGAGACATTTAAAGGAAGATGGGTGCATGCTGAGAGCATAAAGTTAAGTGAAATAAATGAGACACATGATCTTACATATCACATAGTTTTTCTTCTGTGAGAAACCCAGAGTATAAATTAAAAACAGCAGGCAAAAAGAGCCAGATAACAGGAGTTAGACAGATACTGTGGATCCTTCTTAAAAGCGATGCAATCAAGAGATGGGAAGGGGAGGCGGAAGATGAAGCAGGAATTAGGATGTGTTATGTCCGGGTGCCAACGCCA